GGCAGCCAAGGAGGTCAGGTGTGGGTCGGGGAGACTTGCTGTCTGAGTCCTGCAGCACCGCCCGAGCTGTCTTCACCTTTGTGGCTGTGCAGCTGCTCCAGGAAATAGACTTAACCTCACTGTGGTAGGGGTTTAGCAAGTAATGACAGAGAATCATGAAGGAAACCAAATCCAAGCACACGTTACTTTGTGATGATCGGAGCCCATGGTTAGATGGACTTATGGTTGTGTGAAGCACGTAGCAGGCCTACGTCGTGTAGGCCACCAGAACACAGGCTAATGTGGATTGTGCTGGCTTCTGCCCACAAAACCTGGCACAGTTTCCCAGTACACTTCAGCTTCTCGAACTACAGTGAGGGTCTGTGTAAACCGGTAGCATCCCTCCGACACTACCATGTGTTGTTTGCAGTACACAGGCGTGTGCTGCGCCCTGGTAATAATGACAGAAGTTTGTTTAGCTTCACAGCACACAGGTTGGTCATACAGCTGGGACAGTGCACCGAGCATCAGGGATGGAACTTTCCAGCGTCACTGGCCCTCCTCTCTGGACTGACCCTGTGTCCTGCATGACATAACATGTCATGTACCACACCTATCTTTTCTCCTAGTTTTGCTGCAGTGGAAACTGCCCCTAATTTATTTTAGTGAGACTGTAATTAATACTACATTACTGAGTTAAACTGAATAAAAATGACGCATCTCTGGCCTTCCCGTGGGTCTTGTCCCCGGGCGTCAGGCCACCAGTCTCCCCGCCGGGCCTCCAAGGTCCAGGCCCTGCCCTCTAGTTAGGGAGGGTACAAACGCAAACCAGCTTACCTGCTTGTGTGGAAAGGAAGCAGCTGCTGCCCCAGTGGGGTTGCTGTAACATTTCATGTCTGATCTTAAATGCCTTTGTTCTTCATAGCTGACTTGGCTGTGGTGATGACAATTACCATCTTTGCTGAGAAATCAGAGCAGGGAAACTATGGCACTGTACAGTATTGTAGCATTAGAGATTCTTTTCCCCTGGCATCACCTTGCTTTTCTCCCCATCAGTTCATGCTGCTTTCTACCTCTGCTAATGGGATTTGCGCCATGAACTTGGAGCTACAGGTGGAGAGATGTTAGAGAAGATTGTACTGGATGCAATTAGAGAATTTTAAATCCTATAAAGATATGACTAATGACTCCAATAATCCACACGTGGGGTGTCTCCAGAAAGGTAAACGAGATCATGAGTTCTTGTTCACTCTTGCTCATTCTTCTCCTTCTGGTTTGATTAAAATAGAATTTGTATATACTAAATTGTTATTTGCATCCTTCAGTATCCCTCTCTGACCACACCTATGAGCTTGTGAGTGGAACAGGGCTTCAGGAATGCACAGTGTGTGTGTGCAGCGCCCCGTGGGAGGGGTCTCTGTGCCCTCCTTCCCTGCAGAACACGCTGCCTCCCTCCCTTTCTTCACATCCTCTGTTTTCTCTTAGGACCGTGCACCTGTAATGTTTTCCAAACGGAGGAAACAGGAAACGTTTTGTGGACAAAGACTGCAGACGTGTTCTGTGGCTGTAACCTAAGGACAGATATTCTGAGCTCTGGCTCAAGCATCTTGTTTGCTCGTGACACAGAGTTCTGCAGTTTGCTGCTTTGCACCAAAATTGCGCTCTCTCCCAAAGAGAGCAGTGGGAACGGCGCAGAGTGCTCTGAGAGGCGAAATGCCGTTCTCAGATTTTTATTTTGGAAAAGGTGTTGGGTCGTTTTCTCTCTTCTGTGTTTATTCCTGCTTCCTGTTCCCATCCCCACCCCCACCCCACTTTCCCTGTGTGTGTAGATATAAACACTTGCACTTGAGTGCTTGCTCACCTGGTGGTGACGAGTGCAAGCATTGGGTTTGCCGCTTGTGTGACTTAGCCCCAGGAGAGCTGCCCTGAGCATCCTCATTTGGGATGGCAGTGAGATCATGCCTTCACTGGAGAAACTTGGTTTTTATTCCCACATGGTAATGAAAGCCAGCGTGCTACTGGCCATGTTGAATTTCCTTTAGTCCCATGTGTATAATCTGAATTAGTAGAGGACCGATTAGCATACAGTCCTTGCCAATGTTGTCAGACACTTTCTATTCACATACTCTTTTGTAGAATGGGAATTTCTTTGTGCAACTATGTAAAGATAATTAAAAAAATATATAGTCTTTGGGCTGGGAAGGTGGCTTAGTGGTAGAGTGCTTGCCTAGCATGCATGAAGCCCTGGGGTCGATTCCTCAGCATCACATCAACAGAAAAGGCTAGAAGTGGCGCTGTGGCTCAAGTGGAAGAGTGCTTGCCTTGAGCAAAAGAGGCTCAGTGCTCAGGCCCTGAGTTCAAGCCCCAGGACTGGCAAAAAAAGTTTTATTTTGCTGAACCCCAGAAAAGGTCCAGAGCCTAGGGGTGTTTGGGCAGGACTTGGGCATTTTCTCCACAAATAGAGTTGTCCTGTCTACTCAGCTGTCAAAACACCACCAGCAGCAGCTGCACATAGCTTTCTATTTCTGTGTAATTAAAACTTACCTTTAAGTAGTTGTACAAAGAAGTGTCAACACATTAGTTTATGAGTGTAACGTCTTCTCACCTCTGCCTCCCTCACCTTTGAGCCTGATCAGGTCCATTGATTTTCTGCTCTTCTTACCCAGTGAATGTATTGGTAGGTTCCCCAGCAGAAACCAGGGAACCTGGTTACCTGACTTCTGTGATTGTAAGCTACTTCAAGGAAAGTATGTAAAAATATAAAGCCACTCTCACATTAAAAAAAAAAGTAAATTGTACCCAACACAGCTGGTGCTTGCCTGTGGTCCTAGCTACTCAGAAGGCTGAGATCTGAGAACTGTGTTTCAAAACCGGCCCAGGCAGGAAAGTCCGGGACTAATCTGTTTTCCAATTAGCCTCCAAACAAGCCAGAAGCAGAATCAGGCTGGAGTGATAGAGTGCCAGCCTTGAGCAAAAAATCTCAGGGAGAGTGTCCAGGCCCTGAGTTCAACTCCATTTCAGACCCCTTTTCTTCCTTCCTCTCCCCCCCCCCCCACGCATGAATGCACAAAGTATCAGGACTTTGAGCGCCCTTGCCTGTGTGAGATCAGTAGTGGACAACTTTTAAGTGAAAGTGGAAAGCCAGAAGAAGTAAATGAGTTAAGGTTAGTGTAGCATCAGTAGCATTGTAGATGTTATTTTTTTTTTTTGGGTCCGGTTGTGGGGCTTGAACTCTGGGCCTGGGTGCTGTCCCTCAGCTCTTCAGCTCAAGGCTAGCGCTCTACCACTTGAGCCATAGCGCCACTTCCGGTTTTTTGTTTTTTTTTTTTTTTGCTTATGTGGTGCTGAGGAATCAAACCCAGGGCCTCATGCATTGCAAGGCAAGTGCTCTACCACTGAGCCACCTTCCCAGCCCCGATGTTATTTTTTTTAACTTACCCTTTCTCTTTAAAGATACTCTTTAGTATCTTTTTAATATATAAGCTTACAATCTTCTGTCTTGTGGAATAATTTTAAAAATAGTGGATTTCTTTTGCTCATTCCTGGTTTTTGTCTAGTACTTAGTGTTGATGTTGGATAATGCTCTTGTTTGGATAAAAATCCGCTGCATCAAGGGGCACCTCTTTGTCTTGTTCAGTTGTGTGACTAACTCTTCATCCATATGTTACAGAAGAGTCCTCTGGCTTTTTTGTATGTCAGGTGTGTGTGCTCTTCTGGGTGTAAGTAAATACATACAGCACTAGCTACTGAGAATTCTTTCAGGGTACTTATAGCCCCTGGTTATGTGCTAACTAGACCACTGTTTCTGAATTCTGAGGTTTTCTGTAGATTTATTTTGCTGTGGGTAGTAGGCACTGGGCACTTGAGAAGTGGCTGTTGTAACTGAAGTGCCAGAGTTTTAGTTTTGTTTCATTTTAATATACTTAAATAGTCACATGTGGGTCATCTTGGAGAGCACAGTGCCAAGCCCTCTGCTCAGATGTCATTGTAATGGTACACATCCACAGGCTGGCTGTGACACGCACACACACATGTGAGCATCCCATGCAGGTAATTAGCCTGTGACCCTTTGCACTCTGGTAGTCTGAAATATGCAGGAAATTGTTGCAAACTGTAGTCATCCCACAAGCTGTAAACCCAGTAGAGCACCAGAAGCCCTCTTCCTCATCTGACTCCACTCCAGTCCTCCCCCAGCCTGAACCTCCAGCCCTCCACTCCAGTCCTCCCCCAGCCTGAACCTCCAGACCTCTGATTCAGCCTTCCCCCAGCCTGAACCCCCAGCCCTCACTCCAGCCCTCCCCCAGCCTGAACCCCCAGTCCTTCCCCAGCCTGAACCCCCAGCCCTCTCCCAGCCTGAACCCCCAGCGTGAACCTCCAGCCCTCTACTCCAGTCCTCCCCCAGCCTGAACCTCCAGCCCTCTACTCGTCTGAACCCCCAGTCCTCCCCCAGCCTGAACCCCCAGCCCTCACTCCAGCCTGAACCCCCAGTCCTCCCCCAGCCTGAACCCCCAGCCCTCCACTCCAGTCCTCCCCCAGCCTGAACCCCCAGTCCTTCCCCAGCCTGAACCCCTAGACCTCTGATTCAGTCCTCCCCCAGCCCGAACCCCCAGCCCTCACTCCAGCCCTCCCCCAGCCTGAACCCCCAGTCCTCCCCCAGCCTGAACCCCCAGCCCTCCACTCCAGTCCTCCCCCAGCCTGAACCTCCAGACCTCTGATTCAGTCCTCCCCCAGCCTGAACCCCCAGCCCTCACTCCAGCCCTCCCCCAGCCTGAACCCCCAGCCCTCACTCCAGCCCTCCCCCAGCCTGAACCCCCAGCCCTCCACTCCAGTCCTCCCCCAGCCTCAACCTCCAGTCCTCCACCATTCCAGTCTTCCCCCAGCCTCAACCTCCAGCCCTCCACCATTCCAGTCCTCCCCCAGCCTCAACCTCCAGTCCTCTACCATTCCAGTCCTCCCCCAGCCTGAACCTCCAGCCCTCCACCATTCCAGTCCTCCCCCAGCCTCAACCTCCAGTCCTCTACCATTCCAGTCCTCCTCCAGCCCCTTCCTTCCCAGCTCCGGGGACCAGTATTTCATTCTCCACTCCTCCTTGGGGTGACGCTTTCGTGGTTTCCCATAGGCTTCTGAGCTGGACCTTTGCCTCTCCCTGCCTGACTTGCCGCACTTAGCGTTGTCCGTCAGTCCGTTCATGCTGCCTCCAGTGAAAGGGTTTCTCGTTACTCATGACTGAGTGGTACTCGGTTGTATGGTCATGTCTCTCTCTCCTTCAGTGGGGTTTGACTTGGTGATGCTGAAGTCAGACATACTGACTTGTAAGTTTGGGGGGAGGTGGTGCTGCTGGGCATGGAACCCAGAGCCTCACACGTGCCAAACACAGGCCCCCATGACGGATCCCAGGGTGGGACTGCCGGTCATGCCATAGTTCCGGTTCTAATTTAAGTTGTTCCTCAGTGGCTGTGCTAATCGTTTGTGCACCCGCGCCGAATGGATGGACTAGACTTCTCTCTACTTGCACCAGCTTTTTCCTTTTGCCGTCTGTGTAGCTGTAGCCTTGTAACAGTGAGATCTCACTATCGCGCCCTCATGATTAGTGATGTCATGTATTCTAGTTGGTAGCTGATTTCTTTTCAGAAATACCTGTTTAGATTGCTTTTGTTTTAATATTGTTTGGTTTTGTTGCTGAGTGGAGTTTTTAATATTCTGGACATGCTGAGTAGGGTGAATAGTTTCTAGATATTTCTCCCACTAGCTGGTTGTCCCCGGCAGCTTTTTTTTTTTTTTTCTGTCGGTCGTGGGGCTTGAACTCTGGGCCTGGGCAGTCTCTGAGCTCTTCAGCTCAAGGCTAGTGCTTTACCACTTGAGCCACAGTGCCACTTCCAGTGGTTTATTGGAGATGAGTCTCACGGACCTTCCTGCCTGCGCTGGCTTTGAACTGCAATCCTCAGATCTCAGCCTCCTGAGTAGCTAGCATTACAGGTGTGAGCAACAGAAGAAAGGTAGGGACTTTTTAAATTTTTACTGGGATGAAGTTTGCATGCCATAAGTTGCTGTACAGTGTTTGGTTCAGTCGCAGTGAATAATCTCCATGACCCCTTAGCAGGCAGCCTCTGTTCCCTCCTCTCCCCCGGCCCTGGCCGCCGTTCTTCTGTCTTCCATCTCTGTGGACATGCCATACCTGGCTCCTAGCACTTAGGACTGTGCTTTGAGCGTCATCCGCCCCTCAGCCTGTCCACAGAGAGACTTCTGACGAATGAAGTTCATTCCTAGGTCTTGGCCCAGCCACGGCTGAGCCCTTTGCATTTACCTGGGTTAAGGCTCTGGGTGGGGTGCCAGTCCAGGTCCCACTTGAGCAAGGAAGTACCCATGGGCTAGACCTGGGTGGGGCGCCGGTCCAGGTCCCACTTGAGCAAGGAAGTACCCATGGGCTAGACCTGGGTGGGGCGCCGGTCCAGGTCCCACTTGAGCAAGGAAGTACCCATGGGCTAGACCTGGGTGGGGCTGGGGCCTCAGGCTGGTTTGAGCTGGCCTCCAGTGCTCCTGGCCCCTGAGGCTCCTGGGGCCTGCACCTTAATCTCCTTCGGCAGTAGCCGGTGGACCTCCATATTGCCAGAGAAGGCCAGTGGCGGGGAGATTCTGCTCTGAGGCATCCCACCAGTTTGGGGAAGGGAGATGCAGACTCCCACTTCCTGTGATGGAGGCAGGGAAGGCGGAGTCACCATTCCTGCTGGAGACGGACGGGCAAGGCCACCGCAGGGCCCGCCAGCATTCAAGCTCTTCCCTGTGTGGTCCTCAGGCTGCTTTCCCGTCTCCTGACCCAGCCCACTGTGCGCCTCACCTGGGCTGTCGGGGGGAAGCTGGGGGCACTGGAGCATGGGGAGAAGCGGGTGTAGCCAGGGCAGGGCCTCTTAGCAAGCCAGGTGAGGGTGAGTGGCTGTCCACCAATGGGAGCAGAGGGCTTCCGGCCTGGTGTCCCTGTCAGTGTCGGTCAGGGTGGGTGGTAGGCAGGGCTGAGGGATGCTTGGAATACAGGTGGGAGGCATTGTCTGGGATGGTGAAGATGGCGGACGGGAAGAAGCGGGTGATCTGGGTCCTGGGGAGTTGGGTACCCCTTCGGTCTGCCTTGTTTCCCTCCGTGCTGTCAGCTGGACATCCCGCACGCTCTCGCTCAGCTCTCTGTCTAGGAAAGCTCTCACTGACCTGGCCAGAGGCCGCAGGAACGAGGTCTTTGTTGGGCTCATTGGTTCATTCATCAGGCCTGTGCTGGCGGGGCCTGTGTGTTCACGTGCTCTCGATCTTGGTGGGTTTTCAGGTTCTGTGCAGAGTGCGCTCGTGTCAGGGACACGGCTGCGTGGCCAGATGGAGGATGAGTTTGGAGCACGCCTGTGAAGTCTTGGAGTCCCCTCTCTACCCCCTGCCTCCCGCCTGCCCCTGCTGCCCTGGCTGCCCTCCTCACCGCAGCCTACGCCCTTTGGGCGGGCCTCTGACTTTGTTATCTGCTGGCATGTTAACTGTGCAGTACACAGGACTCCAGCTGTGTTGGACATGTTTCTGAGCCAGCCCACGGCCCAGGAACTAGTGTGTCCTGGCTGTGCTGCTTCAGAACCCTGAAATGTGTCTGGTGATTGATTTGAATGAGGAGGGAACACAAAATCAAATGTGTCCCTGAAGCTTCAGAGCCGCACTGAGCTACTGAGATTCTCTTCTGCACATCGTTGTCTTGGTGTTGAGTTGCCCAGGGCACAAGCTGGGTCTGTGCCAGACCCTGAGATCACTCCCTGTCCCAGCTTTGCCGTTACCGGAGTATTGCCCTTCCCCGCATTCCCTAAGATGAACTTCTGATTTGTGTGAAGTCTGGGGCTGGTTAGCCCACAGCCAGTGTTGAACCCGGTGTTGTCCCCCCAGGTCCCTCCAGGTCCAGGCTGTGTTTCCGATGTGTTTTGTGAGCCTCCATTAATTTGAAGGGGAAGCAACGTCTTCCTGGATTGGTGAAGCACGCTGAGTCGTACATGAAGTGTCTGCACCTGTTCTGTGTTCAGAGCTGGCTGCCCGGACTTGATTGCTGTCCCGCTGCACACCTGCTCCGCCGTGCGCACCGCCCCAAGCCAGTCACCACAGGAGGGAGGCTAGTGAGGGTGCCACCAGAGGTGCAAAGATTCGCCTGATTCTGGGGCAGACTGAATTCCTAAGCCCTGCATGGGCCTGCTTGCGGGCCTGCTCGCCGTGCTTGCTGGGATGAATTTCCAGTCTGGTTGGTTGATTCTGAGTGACGCTGTGGTGTCCTATGCTTCCTTACTCTGGCCTTGGTGGTGAGCTGACTCTCCAGGATTTCTCCTGTGTCCTCTGACATGTGAGTCAAGATAGTTTCCTAACTGCTCACTTCGCTTCTCCACATGGGATTGGAAAAACCAAGCTGTTTTATGCTACTTTATTGACAGCATTACTAATGACATAAATGGGAATCTGCTGACTCCGCTACTAAGTAGCGAAACTAGCCTACCTTCTGCAACATGTTCTGCACACAATTAAAAGACTACTAGAAGAATGTTCTACTTCTTTTCTACTAGTTTGAAATAGACCTCCTATTTGCTGGGCACTTGAGCCACACCTCTCCTCCATCACTTTGCTGCTGATTTTGGATATGGAGTCTTGAGGACTTTTCTGCCTGGACTGGCTTCAAACCATGGTCCATCAGATCTCAGCCTTCCTAGCAGCTAGGATTATAGGAGTGAGCCACTGACTCAACTTTTTTTAAAAAAATGTTTCATTGTTACTATAAAGGTGATGATAAGTCAGGTAAAGAGTACTTTTTTTGTGCGGGGGGGGGGGGGGGGGGGGGGGGGTGGTCCGGTCAGTCTTGGGGCCTGAACTCTGGGCCTGGGCGCTGTCCCTCAGCTCTTCAGCTTAAGGCTAGCGCTCTACCACTTGAGTCACAGCACCACTTCTGGCTTTTTTCTTTTTGCTTATGTGGTGGTGAGGAATTGAACCCAGGGCCTCATGCATGCAAGGCAAGCGCTCTACCACTGAGCCACCTTCCCAGCCCCAAAGAGTACATTTCTTTTTGGACAAATTTGCTCTCCAACTTCTTTTTTTTTGGTCCAATCATGGGGCCTGAACTCTGGGCCTGGGCGCTCACTGTCCTTCAGCCCTTCAGCTCAAGGCTAGCGCTCTACCACTTGAGCCACAGCACCACTTCTGGCTTTTTTTTTCTGCTTATGTGGTGCTGAGGAATCAAACCCAGGGCCTCATGCATGCAAGGCAAGCACTCTACCACTGAGCCACCTTCCCAGCCCTCTCCAACTTCTTAATACATAAGCTATTTAGATTTTTGAAGGCAGTTTTTGACCAGCTCTCATTTGAACTGAATTTACAGTTTCCTAGGGCTCCTTTCTGGTTGGGGGTGAAGATATTTCATATTTTTAGACAAAGTAGACACATGATAAAGTGTACACTGTTCTTAGGGAACCCTTGTTGTTAATGTAAGACTTAATAACTCTTAGAGGACTTAAAAATAACTAGATGAGCTCCTTGGTTTCAGGGGGAACTTTTGCAAAATACAGACAATTTTCCTTTTTAATTACAACTGGAGAAAGGAAAGCTCGTTAGGAAAATAACCAATTAGCAAATACAAGCTTATAGTCTCAAATTAATCCTTTAAAAAGTAGAAGACACAAAGGTTGTTATTTATTATTGGCATGCTAGCCAGAAATGGCTCCTTATTTATACTTATTTTCAATATATATATAAAGTGTTAGTTTGTTCAGCCATCAGTATTTCTGTGTGATATTTTTGACCTCTGTAGAGCATTTTATATTAGACTAAGTTAGAGCATAAGTGTTTTCCTCTCACAAAATCACTCAGTTCTAACCAAGGTGCTCTGACTGGTTAGAAATCCCTCTTTACAAAGAGATTTGTACTGTACAACCCTTGACCTAATTGGCCAATTCCTAAGAGCTTCACCAGGGAAATAATTTCTTGAGTAAGGCTTTCTGTGAAGATATTTACCACAATATTTTTTTAAGGATAAGAAAAAACTTGGAAATATTAAATGGTTAATAATTGAGGGTTATCAGAGGCATTCATGGAAATGTTACTCTGGCTCAAATTTGGTTACTGAAGAAAATGATTGCTATGGATTTAAATTTTAAGATTACAAATGTGGGAAGTGGCGCTGTAGCTCAAGTGGTAGAGCG